GAAACAGAGATAACAATAGCAGGAGCAGATCTCAAAGCTGATCTTCTACTCTCTACTCTAGAGAAGCTTAGACAGCAGACCTTATTGATTATGATTATGAACAATTCAAATTATATTTCTTTAATGAGTTATTGCAAACTGCTATGGAAACCTATTTTGCTACTCTTTTTTCTAGCACTGCTATCCAAACCTCAACTCATACTACACCTATCAAATGCAATATCAAAATTAAGAATAAGCCCTATTAAGCTATTATTGATAGTGGAACTTCAATCAGTATGATCTCATATCAGATCATTAAAGAATTAGAACTCAAGATAGATACTTGCTCTTCTAGCTTAATTCTATCAGCTACAGGATCCTCTATTAGACCTCTAGGAATAAACAAAAATCTTCTCATAGAGATTGAAGGAATAACTATTCCGATAGATGTAAAAGTTATAGATGCTACCTCTTATTCTCTTCTTCTAGACAATGACTGGTCTCAAAAAGTCGAAGCCACCTATAATTAGAAGAATGGTGCCTATACTTTAAAATGGAATAACAAGAAAATTCATATACCTACTACCTATGAACAACACCAACCTTTACCTACTCAACCAACAGTAAAAGAACAGCATAAATTAGACCAATTTGAACAAGAATTCTTATTCCAAAAAGAAGCTTATATGCTAACAGTTACAGATTCAGAAACCAATAATCAACCTTGGATAACTCCAACTCCTAGACTCAAAAACAGACCCTCTATAAGCAATCGATACAGAAGATGTGGAAATTGCTATTTTAATGAACATGTCTTTGCAGACTGCTCTGATAACCAATGCAATAGATGCAAGAGACTGGGATATATCTCTAAATATTGTCCTTGCAATCCACCAAAGCTAAACTACTACAAAGTATATGACAGCACTGAGCATCAATATGCTGATTGCCCTTACAACCATTGCTATCAATGCAATAAGTTAGGATATATCAGTATTCATTGTCTTCTCGCTCCTCTCAAGAAAGATAATTAACAGTATAAATGTGGATGTAACTGAGATGAAGTAGAAGATAGAAGAATAGTTTACTATAGCTGCAAAGGAATAAACTATTGCTGTAGATGCAAAACCTCTCAGATGCTAGAAGATATTCACCTCCTTGATGACACTCTAGTATGCAAGATATATTGAACTGATTTCCACTAACAACTCCCAAGAGAAGACTCACGAAGCATAGAATATTTTGCTAATAGCGATGGACAAGGCCTCTACACTAAGTGTACTCTTTGTCAAGAAGAACATATTAGGACCAGAATGCATAAGTTGGATACAATCTAAGAAGATTCTTGGTTTTGTAATCTAGAACATTTTTATGCATATAAAGCAGCTCAAGATATAGAATGAAACTCTAACTATAATCTATAGACCTAAATACATCACTATACAGAATCTACTAGAAATGCAGGATATGCATATGACCTTAATTAAAGTAGAATATTTTGTCTTGCTAAAATTAAGTTAGGACAAAGCTATCAAGAAATTACTGAAGCTTTAGAACCTCAAATGAATGACCAATTTAATCAGAACTACTCAGATGATGATATCAGTATCATCATGAGAGCACTCTATATAACTCTTTCAGAAACAGAACAAGAAATTCTAGATCAAATTCTCTAAGAATCCTTTGACTAATCCTATCCCGAATTCGATCATTACAAAGCAATAGAAAACCTTCAAAGGAACTTCAATAACAAAGTAGCTCTATGTAAAAGTTGCTTTATGCCCAAGCAGAAAGTAGAGCTTGAACAATATGAGGAATATTGCCAAGAGTGTCATGAAGAATTACATCCTAAATTTCAACTAGAACCACAACCAGAAGATCTCCCTACCCAACCTGAATTACCTCCTTAAACCCAAGTTCAACCAAAACCTGACCAGGATGAACTCATTAAATTATTACAACAACAAGTTGAACAACAGGCTCAGATTATTACTCTTCTCCAAGCCCAAGCCAAGACTTTCGAATACCAGACTCAGACTATTGAAACCTTTCAAAACAAGGTTAATAGTTTTGAAAGATTCCACTAACAAATAGGACATTTATATCAGGAACAATTTTTACAAGTAAATAGTAAACAGCCTACTACTTCGACCCCCGCCTTAAATTTTTAAACTATCCCAAGCAAGATGAAAAACTACTTAGTGACTCAGATGAACTCCCTTTAGAACTTAAAGCCCTAGAATCAGCTCTAAATAATAATTTACAAAAGAAAGAAATATATATGATCTCTCAAGAAATAGCTCCAAAAACAGAAATGCTAACTCCAGACCAAGAAACAAAATTCAAACGATTACTTAGAGGATTTGCAGACCTCTTTGCAAAAGATATTATCCAACTAGGAAGAACTAATCTAGTGACTCACAAAATATATACTGAAGATGTACCTCCTATAAGTTCTCGACCTTACTCAGTACCTATTACTGAACAAGCCTTTATTAATGAAAAAATACAACAGATGCTTGATAACAACTTAATTAGAGAATCAACTAGCCCATAGGTATCTCCAGTTGTTTTAGTTATGAAGAAAAATGAAAAGAAAAGATTTTGTGTAGACTATAGAAAACTTAATATAATAACCAAGAAAGACTCTTATCCCCTTCCCCGCATAGATGAACTTTTAGACTCTCTTGCGGGAGCTACATATTTTTCTACTCTCAATCTTATGAGTGGATATTGGCAAGTAATGATGCACCCTGCAGACAAAGAGAAAACAGCTTTTATCACTAAGTATGGTACTTATGAGTTCAATGTAATGCTATTTGGACTATGCAATGCCTCTGCTACTTTCTAACGTCTTATGAATCAGATTTATCAAAGCATAGCCTATAAATATGTTGTTGTCTACTTAGATGACACCAATGTATTTTCACATATATTTAAAGATCATATTCAACATCTTCTGAAGTATTCACTAGAATCAGAAAAGCTGAACTCAAGCTTAACTTAGAAAAATGTACTTTTTGGATGAAACGACCACTTTTCTTAGGACATATTATAGAAGCTAAAGGAATCTCACCAGACCCAGAAAAGATTATAGCTATACAAAATATCCTACCTCCTACCAATGTAACTTAACTCTGATCATTCTTAGGACTCGCTAGATTAGAGTACAGAATGGGTCAGGCTGGACCAGGTTTTTCTAAAACAAACCCAAACCCAAAAAATATTTTTGAGCCCAAGCCTGGCCTAATAAAAAAAAAAAAATACTCAAATATGGGCCAGGCCAGGTTTAAATAAAATTAGGCTCAGCTCAATTCCGGCCCAGACCTGTCACCAATATAAATAAAATAATTAGAGTTGTTAAAGCATATCTGACAACTTACTTTACATGTAAATTGCACTGTAATTTACTGTAACTTACTCGACCTATATGTAAGTTATAATATAGCTTTAAAGCTAGCTGAATCATGTGATAGTTTTTACCAACATTAATATCAACTTACATCAGATCGAAGTTTGAATGAGTTTCATTAGATTGAAGTTAATTTGATACAAATAATAATATGACGTATAACATTTGTCGATTAACTCACAAACTTATAAGTAATTTACATAAGTTACAGTAAACTTAAGATTGGTAAATTACTGTAAATTTACATGTAAGTTAACAACTCTAAAAATAATAAAATATTAAAAATATTAAATATCAAAATATTTTTATTTTATACATTTACAAATACATGCTAGATAGAGGTCGGATCCTTTAAATACCCATGCAATTATTACTTGAAAAGCTTTAATACTACACCTGATTCTATATATACTCTAACTAGTCAATTAAGATAACAATGTATCGCACTTACAATTATAGATACAAATTTTATTAGAATATTTGCTTTAACTCTAAATATGTAGAGATAACAATATATTTATCAATATCAAATTTATAAAATATGTATATAATCCGTGACTATCTACAGATTTCATGTAACCAAATATCGGATACTCAATGAATATCTATTGCCATTCATGAATATTCACGGATCCAACCTCTAATACTAGATTAGGAAAATTGTAAAATCAAAGTATATTCTTGATGTTCAAAGTACATTATTTATATAAAAATATTCTTTAAGAATATAATACAATACAATATGCAATCGTTATGTTGAATTAACGGGCTCCTTAATTTGTTAGGGTAGTTTTTATCATTTTCAAAACTAGAAAAAAATAGATAAAGGTTAAACATGTACAAGAAATTTCAAGAATAATATTAATCAAATATATTTTTACTTGAGGAACTAATTGCATTGTTATAAAATTAGCCAGCACAGTATTATTTTTGCCATCACTTGCTGAGAACCATGAGAACCTTTTAGCTCATCGTGACAAAGATGCTCTATACTTCTGTAGTGAGTATGTTTTGCTAAAATCGCTTGTATTACCTAGGCATTCTTTAAATAAAGATATTATTTCTAAAATAAATTGTACATAATATCACACAATTAAATTAAGTACAAAAAATTATATCCTGTAAAATCGTAGAAATGCTAAACTCTAATATGAATTTAGTTAAATATTAACCAAAGATAGCAAACTTACATTTTTAATATCTTGTATCTTTTTTTTATGGAATAAATGTAGAATTATCAGCATCTATATAAATTAAAATTATATGCTTCGATTATAGATTAAATACTTACTGGTTGAATTCAAGCATTTATTCTTTTATGTTATAGATTTCATTTTCAGGAATTATAAAAAATAATAATCTAATATTTAACATGCAAAAACTTATAATGCCTATATATTAGTAAATGTAAACTTTAAGCTTTAAAAAAAAACGTATACAATGCCAAGGTCAATAACATTGTAGAAAAAAAAATATTGTCTAAAATTAAACAAGTTTTTGATTTGATTTCGTTATTTCTTAATGGATATAATAAAAGTTCGTGAAATAGTAAACTGATAGTGCTGACATTACGGGTTCTCAAATTTCTGCTTATGAATGAATAAAATCAGTAATAAATTGCCAAGTACACTTTGCAATATGCATCTTCTAAAATATAAAGAAATATAACTTACTACAATCTGATTATTTATGCATTTCCTAGTACAAGAATCTGAAAAGTTAAGATTTACATAATTTTTTTTTTAAAAAAAAGAGAAGTTCTAATATATACCATTTTAATATGTCCAGTCTCGTTTTACTGTATCTTTTAGCCAATCTTGTCTACAAATCAATACCTCAATAGTTTCAGGTGTAAGTTTCGATCAATGATCGTTGATAATTCTTCCCGCTGCACTAAATGTCTGAATAAACAATATATATTAACTTTAGTTATATAATATTTGTTAGGAATGATACTGAAATTTGAGGTCTCGATTTAAAAAAATAAATTCTACTAAAATCCATCTATACTATTATATATAAACACTGATCCTAAACCTAATCTAACTTTAAAAAAAGCTAAAAGGAGTGTTACAGAAAATATAAAAATTCTGTATTAAGATAAGTCAAAATTTCAGCATTATTCTTGACAATATTTACTTACTGCTTCGGAAGCTACAGAGGTTACAGGATAGCAAGAATATCTCTTGCCATCAGTAATACAGAAGGATATTTTGACTCATTTTCTTTCCACCAAACTAGAACGTCGAATGGTTTAGTGTTGGAATGGGGATGAAATGGATCAACAAGATATTTTTCGAATTCATCCATTTCATTAATTATGCTGATTTGATTTGTCATGAGATAACGGTCAAAATCTTGCATTAATTCATCATCTTGTGTATCACAATTAGAATTATTATTATTAGGAGCAGCAGTATTTTGAGTACACATTAATCTATACGTTGATCTATAAATCATTGTAGCTCTATAAAAAAAAAAAAAAAAAAAAGTTATCAAATTAGCAACGAATAGTGATAGGACTACAGAGGTTAGAAATTAAACTGTCGTAAGCCATATTATTAATTAAAAAATTGATAGTAAATTCTTAAATACAACAATTAAGTATCATCTATTTCTAACCCCTGAGTCTAATCATTGGCAATGGAATCTTAAAAATATTATACTGAATTAATTCACTTTCTTTTAATAAAATCTAGCTTGTCTTCAGCCTCAATACGTGAAAGATGCATTTTATTCTTAAGGATATGAGTTAACAATGCCATTTTGTAATGCGAGTTCATCATCGATGCAATGCAGTATAAATTATCTATCTCCGCTCAGTATTTGTCAAATTTAGACTGCATTAGTATAATCATCTGACAAATTAAAGGATCTACATTAGTAGCATCTTGCTCAATATGTATTTTAATTTTTATTAGATAGGAAAGAAAAATATTTGCTGTTGAATATGTGCTTCCAGATATGATATTTGTAACTGTTTAAATAATAGTTAAATATAAAATTTAAATAATAGTATTGTTAAATCCCACCAGTGATGTTTAACACTACAGTTGCTATAAAATCTATTACTGCATTTGTACGAAGTAACGCCCATGGGCATTACTTTACACAAATGCAATAGAAATTTGTTATCACCTTCATAAAACAGTTTTAAAAAATCACAAATATTCTTAGCCCTTTTCCAATCTCTATCAGAAGGCATGATTTCCTTAAAATTAATATTCTGTAATACAAGACGCTTAAACACTCTTTTATATGGAATTGTAGATACTAGCATCAGATAAACAGAATTCTATCGGGTAGGCACATCAAGAGTTGGTCTTTGACTTGATACAAGCTCGAGACAACACCCAATAATTGCGTCCTCAAATTTTTGTAACCTGAATTGTAAACTATGGACCCACTTCACGCATTCTCGGATTTTGCTAATGATACTTTTAACTATCTTAAGACCATCGTTGACAATAAGATTTAGTATGTGAGCACAGCAACATTGATGCAGCAAACTTCCTTCAGCAGCAAGCATATTCTGATCCTCAAGCATATATTTTAAATCAGTAATTGCAGCATCATTACTGGTCACGTTGTCCATGGTAATTGCCAAAGTTTTTGATACAATATTCCATTCATTAAAACATTTTAAAAGCATTTCACTGATGACAATTCCTGTATGTGGTGTGGGGACTAATTTGAATGATATTACTAATTTTTGAAGCTTCCAATTTTTATCAATGAAATGGCAAGTAACCACCATATATCCGAGGGTTTGGTTTGAAGTCCATAAGTCAGTCGTATAGCTTAGGTGTCTAGGAGTCTCAAGTATCATTTTTTGGGTCTTTATTTTAAGTTTTTTAACAACTTCCATGCAATCTTCATGCATCGTTTTTTCACTCACTACTTTATACTTTGGTTGTAAATTATAGCAAAATTTTTGGAATCCTTCATGTTCTACTATTCGGAAAGAATATGCGTGTCTAATAATCATTTCAGCCATGTCTTGATGGCTTTTTTCTTGAGAAAACGTATAGGCGGTAAGACCTGATGCAGATAACTGCAATGTTTGTTGATTTTTATTATTCATATACTTTTTACAGTTTGTGTTTTTCATATAACGAATTAAAGAGCTGGTACCCGTCTCATTATCATGTTTCAAAATACTTTTGCAATATACACATTGAGCGTAATTCGCTAATAAATTACAATGATATAAGTATTAACTAGTTCACAAAAATTAATCAATAACATCATAAAACAAGTATTATTACGCTTTTTGGAATTATGATATACAAAGTGGCCTTTTTTAAAGACCCACGATTCTGACTTACTTCTTTTATGTTTCTTATTATAAATAATATTTTCGGGGCTTTCGTTAGCAGTGCTTGTTTCAGGGGTTTCATTAGCAACGATTGTTTCAGGGCTTTCATTAGTAGTAGTTATTTCAGGACTTTCATTGGTAGTAGTTATTTCGGGGCTCTCAGCAACTGTGATTATTTCAGGGCTTTTATTTGTAGTAGTTATTTCGCTTTTATTAATGGTAGAACGGATATTCTGAACTTCTAAAGATAAATAATAGTGGATAATTAAAAATTCAGAAAATAGTATTTAAAACATAGTTTCCAAATTTTTAACACACCGTAATCCATTTTTTTATATCAAACGAGCTATTCTTCAGTACTTTTAAATGACGTAATCTAAACAAAAAAAATCCAGTATTAATCCTTAGCCTTTATTTATATGCTTTTAAAGAATAGAAAGTTTTTTACAAACAGACCTTCTTAAGTAATATGTAAATATTTTATAAAGAGCACCTTTTCTATAAGTACACGCTTGATTCAGTTTAAAGAGACGCACATAGTTTTTTTTTTTAACTCACCTAAGTTTTTTCAGTTCTTTATACCACATACATACGTACTTTTTTTTTTTGATTTGTACACCAAATTTATTCACTTGGCTTTTTTTAACAGTGCACAAAGATTGTAAATTCCCTTATCATTTACATGAATGTACAGATTTTTATATATGTTGTACGTACGTACCTGAAGTAACTTCAAGTGCCTGAAGTTACACTTGACTGAAATTGGCCTCTGAAATTAGATCATCTTGCACACATTAGTTTGCAGTTTAGGCAAGTGTAACTTCAGGTGCTTTAACTTCGAGCATAACATATACGTAGAGATAGAAAATTACTATAATTTTGCGTAAGTTTATGTAAGTTTGTGTAAGTTTCTGAAATCAAAATTACATGTAATTTTGATTATATGAATAATTTTGGCCAAAAGTTTTGTAATGTTGGCATAAAAATAAATATAAAATTACAGCTCCGAACATATTGATAAATATCAAAATTTTGTATATTACAGTTTCTAAGTTACAATGTAATTTCATGTAATGTAAAAATGCAATTTTGTGTAATACAACTCTACATATATGTATAAGTTGATCAGTCAAGCTTGTAATACTAGTAAAAAATATCAAGAATGCAATTTTATTAAATGATCTATATAATTCTAATTTTATAAATTCATCAATTCACAAATTAACATTGGAAACTCTCTCCGTAGATCATCTGGTCACAAAATCGAGCTAAAGGTCACCACATAGAAAAACCATCAAACTCACTAATT